ATTCGAGAATACCGGTCTACTAGGGCGGCTAGTCAATCCCTCTAGCAGACTGTTGAACAAACACTATGGTTTATACTGCAACTATTCTCAGCAGACCTTAGTTACCGTTTCTGGAAGAGAGCGTGCTATCTAGCGTGATCAACAATCTGAACAAGGCCAGCACACTGAAGCTTTCTGTCACGCTTGTGACTTCGTGCTAGCAGAACTATCGACGCCCCCCACCTTCCGCCACCAAGTCTACTCAATTTCATCCACAAGTTTTCGGTGAACCCGTGGTTTGGTTTTCAGGAACTTTCCAAAGGTTCCGCACGCTAGGATCGTTCCCCTCCAGACCGATAACGCCAGGAAGTCTCCTTTCTGACAAATCAACCGTGGTGTGATTCGATCGTATAAAAATGACATCTAAAATATAACGACCTCCTCCGCATCACTCAAAAAACTGCAACCACGAACATTATATATATATATATATATATATATATATAGATAGATAGATAGATAGATAGATAGATAGATAGATAGAATTAATAAATATATAAAGTTTGTCACTTAGATGATTGGTTTTATCTTCAGTATTCCGACTCTAGATTTTGTAGACCCTCCAGCAATCATTCCGTCCACTCGTCAGGTAGATTGTATATATATATATATATATATATATATATATATATATATATATATATATATATGATATAATGATATATAATTTAGCATAATTGTATATATGAATAATAGTATGACAAATTGGAAAAAAGTTTTTGCGACGCGTTTCATCCTTCAGGATTTCATCGGACTGAGCTTTGTTGATGTTGCCACACATTCGCACGACAACAGAGACGCTGGTAGTTTCGAAATTTTTGAAAGAATATTTTTGAAAGAATATTTTTGAAAGAATATTTTTGAAAGAATATTTTTTTCAATCTAGCCAAATTCATCTGTCTTCTTTTTCTTTTACCTCTTCATCACCTTTGTCTCTGACTATCTCACATAGTTACAACAGAAAATCTACCAAGAATGGTGATATATTGTAAGAGTGTGGAAGCAAATTTACCATGGCCGAACTACCGATCTAGGCACTTTCCAGGCATTTTAGTTTTAGTGTATTATTTTCTCTATGTCAAAATTGTGACCAGTTTCGTTACATTGAACAACCAATGCGTTCGTTTATGTGTTGTTTTTTTTTTTTTTTAATGTCCCTTTTGTGTTCATATAGTCTTTTGTTTAAATTTCTTGTATTCATTCTGGTAATTTCTGCATTTGATTTCCGCTTTCAAGTTTTGGCTTGTTTTGTTTTTTATTGATTAAATCTTTGATTTTTTTAGATCCATTTGTTACAAATTTTATGTTGAGTTTAGATAACTTTTTTTCAGTTGTAGTTGTGATATAATTAGTTGGTGGAATAATATATTTTTTTGTTTCGTTGGGTTTGTCATTAAGGTCAGCTATTTTGGAATATTTTATAAGCCATTTGTTTCGCATTGAATATGAAATAGGGTATTGAAGGTTCTTGAGTGCATTTTCCGTATATTTCTGCCCTTCGTATAAATATTCTGAGTATTCCTAAATAGAATCCAATGATCATTCCGGATTTTATTTTATTGTCATGATGGAAATAGAAGTTTATTAGGTCATTTTTATTGGTTGATTTTCGGTAGACACTAAGTTTTAGGCTGTTCTCAAACTCGGTGTAACACGATGTATTAGAAAGGTAAGGTTTTGTTTTTTCTATTTCGCATGTGAATCCTAATTTACCTACAAGATCTGGTAAGTTAATATCACGGGGATATATTAATAGAGCATTATCAATATATTGGAAGTATGTTGATTGTTTAGATCAGATGAATTGGAAAGAGGTAGAGTCGAGGAATATATATAGTAAGTAATACTTTGATCCTGGTAACCTGTCACTCTCTTCTTTTACAAGTGTAAAAGAGAAAAAAAATAAAATGTAGACGTTTAGAAAAAATTCATGCCATCGTGAAACAACTGCGGAAGTCATTACGAAAATGAAGGGGAAATACGACAAATATAATAATATACAGTGAAATCTCGGTTCACGATTTAAATGTTCGTAAATCGAAACTATATTTCCGATAGGAATCAATGTAGTGAAAAAAGTCACAGTACAATAAAATTGGAAAAGAAAAGCATGGCACAACACACAAATATATACAACACGGCAGTTGACACAGAAATGATTCCGTTCATGTCAATTAGATTAGGCTATGTTGTTCGAGAACCGAAATTTTGTTCGCTAACCGAGGCATCTCGAATTTTTCTGTTCGAAAACCGATTTGTTCGATATGTGAGACGTTCGACAACCGAGGTTCCTCTGTATAATAATAAAGAAAAAAAAGGACTATATATCGTTATTTCCCATCACTCATACAGCGAACACGCTACAAAAATCCGTCCGCCAAATGAAATTCAAATTATGCCAGGAAGTAATAGTTGATCTTCACTGCTGGGATCTTCATGACATTTATCGGAATAATAGATTCTTTTTTTTCGTTGAACAATGAAGGTGAGTTCATTGACATCATGCCCAACTCCAGTGCCAGGGTTACGTGCTCCCCCTCCAAATCTTGATATCCACCCAGTTTCTGCTACATCACAATTTTCATATCGTAGTATTCACATTTATTCAAAACTTTTGACATGTCTTCACTCAAAAATAGCCATGTTGTTTCATTTTGCTTCTCAAGAAATTGTTGAGTTGTTTTTGAAAATTCAAAATCAAATCACCCCCATCCCCCAAAAAAAAACCTCAATAGGGGAAACCTTGTTACGAACCTACGACGACCAATCAGAATACAAATACATGAAAATTCAAAAAACGTGAGAGTGTATAATAAATACAAAACCGTTATTAATTAGATTTAATATTAGATTAAACTAGAAATCAATATCAAATAATTATGTTTTAATTTCGCGGTAAAATTAAAAATTTCAAATTCTAAATTAAACCTAGCATTGTGTTTAAAATATTACAAAGTTATTCAAAAATGGAACGGAGGAAAATATATATATATATATATATATATATATATATATATATATTGTAACTATTCTTAGCTATGCGCCAATTTAGTCGGTAAATTCGACGCTGATGTGAAAAGTATCAATAAACGCTACAAACATTAGGCACAAGCTAGATTATACAGATGACACGGCAAACATATTCGCATCCTAATACAAAGATACATAAATATGACTAAACATATATGCACGTAAATATAAGAATGGCACAGGAAATAGAAGGAGATTTTCTTTTTAAAATTAGTGGTTTTGGTTATCGAAATTTTATTCCATCTATACCAACCCTGTATTGCGATAAGGTAATATTCATAAGGTAATATTCATATAAAATACAAAATTTTAATTGTAATCTAATCACGTACAACAATGGATTATATGCAATATAGGTGAACAATTCAACTAGAAAAATTGAAGATAAATACAATGTATCTAAATACAAATTAGAGACATGTCATAATTGATCATTTCAAATTATCAAATAAATCAACAATGTTTTGCGGCAATTTTTAACATCAACTTTTTCTTGTTAAGAAGTTTAATTAATTAAACATGATAGACAAAAAATAATGAATATTATTTAGCGTTTTTTTTTTCAAGACTTAGCATAAATGAATAAAACAAATTCACGAATCCTCAAAAATGTTTCATTCTTTAATAATCTGTTGTGATTGGTTTAATGTGTAATGTATATAAATGTAGGAAGAAAAAAATTCATACACAGCCGTCCTCAAAGACGCATGCCACAGTGAATGAAGACGTTGGTTAAATCCAGTGGCTAGACCTAAAGAGCTGTGAGTTCAATACCAGACCGTAGCTGAGGTGACCCCACACCAAAGGAAAAAAAAACTTGGAAAGTTAGTTAAAGGGAAATAACTGAAACATCCCGAAGAAGCATGGCACGTGGAACAAGAACAATCGGTGAACAAAATAAAGGGTTCGGTTTAATCACCTGAAGAAGGCCAGAGCTTACAACGGTCGAAATGTTGTGAATATGCATTGAAGATGGGGATAACAGTCCGAATAATGTAAATAATGCAAGTAATCATAATACCTCATAGCAGAGATATAGACAGGTAGGTAGAACAATCAAAATTTGGTAAGATAGCGAGTGCTACAAAACATTTGCTCGTGGGCACCAGTGAGGCATGACCCACCCCCATCTTGGGACGTGGTGGTGGGGAATCTGAGGGTAGTACGCACTGGTCCTGATCCACCTCATGTGACGTCGATTTCATTTTCCGTACTTCGTATCTTTTCGGCCGGTGCAACGTATCTGGTACTTTGACCACCTCACTGCGCTGAATAAAATTCAAGAAAACAATGTTGCTGTAGACAAAAACTGTAAACATACTGTACGCGTCAAAATAAATAATAAGAACGCCTGTCTGAGTGGCTTTGCGCTATTGTAGGCCATTTTCTGTGGAAGAAACCTTGTTTTTGTTCTTTTGAAGGTTACCAAGTTCTTGTAGTCGCCTTTTAGCGCATAAAGTAGGTAGGTGTTTGCCAGGCTTCCATGGAACAAAAGAGAGGGGGCACTTCTTCGTGGTGTCATGGTTAGCATGCTTGTCCCGCTAGACCAGTTACGACTGAATAGTGAGTTTGATCCTCACTGGGTGTCACATACTTTCGTGCCACGCTTAGAAAATCATTATGGAACAAAAAGGAAACAAGTTCGAATCTTACCATCGACATATCCTTTGAGGTCTGTTCCTGGTCTGTCATTCCGCTGCCGTAGACTGACGGCCTAACTAAAAGGGAAATAAAGGAGTTAAAAATAATTTAGATGTAAGTAAATGCGAGTCAATTAAATAGTTAATTATCTGGGATCTTGTCACTGCGACCGATCTATTCTGCTGCCTTCTTCAGGCGTACAGACCACATCTAAATAGAAGTTGATTTGATTTTCGATTTCTATTTTTTATTTATTTTTTATTCTTTTTTTTTTTTCTATTTGCTACTAGATTCTGTCCAGGATTATTATTTCCATTGGTTCTTCTTCTTCTTCTTTCTTCTTCTTCTTCTTCTTCTTCTTCTTCTTCTTCTTCTTCTATCAATGACACGTTAAAACACCGATTCTCTCATGATCACCGAAGTTGAGCAACGTTGATCCTGATCATTACCGAGATGGGGCACTGCTTGTGTATGCCAGGTGCTGTAAGCTTGGGATGTGCGGGTGTTATAATGAATAACAGCTCAGAATTAGAAATCTGAGAGCCAGGTTTCAATTCCAGTTGAGTTTGTTATATTCACTTACCATTGGGAAAAGTATGAAAATACCTATTCTCCTCTTAACCATGGGTTAATTAGTAAAACTTGTATCAGTATCTTTATAACATTCTTACAATCTAAAAATATTTGATGGTTTTAATTAAATACCCTGCAATAGGTTGATAAGCCGTAAAAAACAAATCAATCAACTACTCTTTTATTATTATTATTATTATTATTATTATTATTATTATTATTATTATCCTATTATAATTGTTTTTATCCTTCCCTTCGTTAGTTTTCACGACCGTTACGCCCTGCCAATACCTCATAAATAATGGACCATTCCGTTTTGATTGCGTGGAAATAGAGGAAAAGGCACTGCTTGGTTTCATTGAAAAATTGAATGAATGAATGAAAGAAAGAAACAAAGAAAGAAAGAAGGGAAGAGAGAAATGTTTAATGTCAGTCACAGTGAAATGGAAAAAGGTGTCAATTTCAAATCTTTTCATTTGTACCCACTTCTTAAAATAACGACCAGCATTGATATTTAGGATTGTTATTGCAATATTATTTTTATTATTATTATTATTATTTGCTTTTTTTCCTGTTGTATACACATTTCTTTCGGGATCTCAACCAGAGACCTAAGGTCATCATCTTTAAAAAAAAAAAAAAAACGTCTTCTGACATCTCTCGCATGATCATCTTTTTTTTGAGATTTCCATTCTAAGATCCTTGTATTTTTGAAAAAAAAAAAAAAAATCACATTTTCCACTGAGCAGTTTTGAAAAAAACACATTTTATTATTATTAGATAATTATTTTCGTAATGTGGACACACTAACCAAGTTTTTTACTTTTTCATGACTTTTTTTTTTTTATTTCTGTACATAGACAAAGTTCATGGACTACCAATTTTCTGTATGTCTCTTTATATGTTCATTGTTGTTTTGTTCCAGTCTATCAGAACCTTTTCTAATCAATCCGTGAACTACAATTGGAATTATTTATGTCCTAATATGCCCTACATTTTTCTGTCTGTGTGGATGGTATTTGGTGACATCTTCTATTCTAAGATCCTTGTATTTTGATATTATTATTATTGTTTTATTTCCTTTTTTATTTTTGGTGTATAGAACATCCTGATTTCTTTGTTTCTGGTATTTGTCCCGAACCAGAGACCACATTAAGATCAAGAAAATGGTTTCTTTAATCCAGATGCATGACATTTTCCACTGAGCAGTTTTGAAAAAAAACTCAAATATATTTTTGAATAAATATTTTATCATCCAGTCATTTGTTGTTTCCATGTATTATTATTATTATTATTATTATTATTTTATTATTATTATTATTATTATTATTATTATTATTATTATTATTATTATTATTATTATTATTATTTCCTTTGATTTCTGTTGTATACACATGTCTTTCCTGGTCCCAACGAGAGACCTGACTTCAGAAATGAAAGAATTGATTATCAATTTTATGACATTCGTTTGTCAAATATTTTCCTGAGACCTGAGTGGTAGCAAGGATTTTCTTAGAAAGTTTTTTTTACTCATGAGCACAACCTTTTGTGTCTCGGATAGTGAGAACGTTCTGAACCCATGTGATAGTCTTTTTAATTATTCCTAATGATCCTATAATTACTGGAATAATCGTCGTGTTTAAATACCACTTGTTTGTAACTTCTATTTACAAGTTCTTATATTTTGAAAGTTTGCCAAATTCATTTGAAATGTTTTTGTCAGACGGAATGGCTCTGTCTTTGAGATAGAGTTTCTCCCTGCATCCTATCAGCTTATCTAATGCTCAACTCCACGTGATCGTCTCTCTGCTCCTTCCCAGTCTCACGTTTTCCACTGACCTGAGGTGGAATCAATAGCTACATCTACCGCAAGGAAATTTGGTTCTTTGTGTCGCGCCAGAAGGTTTTTCTCGCCTGAATCCATCCTTCAAATCTACAAATCTACCATTCGTCTTCGAACTGAATACTGTTGCCATATATGGTCTGGTGTCTCCGCTGTTAATCTCGAGGCTCTCGATAAAATCCAAAGACGGATATGCAATATGATAGGTCCTGACCTGGCATCTCGACTACAGTCACTTTCTCATGGACGTGACGTGGCTGCCCGCTGTTAACCTCGAGGCTCTCGATAAAATCCAAAGACGGATATGCAATATGATAGGTCCTGACCTGGCATCTCGACTACAGTTACTTTCTCACAGACGTGATGTGGCTTCCCGCTGTTAATCTCGAGGCACTCGATAAAATCCAAAGACGTATATGCAATATGATAGGTCCTGACCTGGCATCTCGACTACAGTTACTTTCTCACGGACGTGACGTGGCTGCCCGCTGTTAATCTCGAGGCTCTCGATAAAATCCAAAGACGGATATGCAATATGATAGGTTCTGACCTGGCATCTCGGCTACAGTCACTTTCTCACGGACGTGACGTGGCTGCCCGCTGTTAATCTCGAGGCTCTCGATAAAATCCAAAGACGGATATGCAATATGATAGGTCCTGACTTTCTCACAGACGTGACGTGGCTTCCCTCTGTCTTTCCTACAAATATTTTTATGACAACTGCTCTGACAAGCAACTTTCACTGGTACCCCATCTGTATGAATTTAAACGTGCTATTAGTTTGGCATCTCGGCCCCACCCTTTCATTGTCGAAACAGTTAAATATATCTGCCTTTTCTACACCAAGAGCTTCTTCTCTCGCACTTCCCGACTGTGGAACTCCCTTGCTCTTACTTGCTTCCCTGGTAGTTATAATATTCAAATATTAAAATGTAATGTCAATCGACATCTTCTAATGCCCTGATTTTGATACCAGTCCTACTCTTTATCCTTTCCTCAAGCACCCCTCTTTACTCTTACTCTCACCCTCTATAACCACTTGCGTGCTTGTGACATTCCCGCCTTGCTTGGGGTGAAATGCTTAAAAAATGTTTTTTGAAATTATTTATTATATTACTTCGTTAATTGGCTCGTATAATGCCGTTTGTATGCATCGTGGCTATACCTACGCTCCGGCCTTCTTCAGGTGATTATAATGTCGAACTTAACCCTTTATTTCGCTCATTGGGGTAGACTGTTCTAGTTCCATGTGCCATGTTTAATGGATGTCATTTATCAGTTATCTCTTGTTAATTCCCCTCTCCAAGTTCTGTCTTAACCGGGTATTGAACTCACACTCTTTGGGTCCTGTCACTGGATCTAACCAACGCCTTTATCCACTGTCCCATGTCTGTTTGTTCGTTTTAATTTTTTTTTATTTTTATTTTTGCATGTTTTTTGTTTGTTTGTTTGTTTTTGTAATAAGAGTAGATAGACTTTCCTATCGCCCGGTCCTCACCGCCCCCACTTCTCTTGAACAGGAGTAGAGGCTCATCTGTTATTTCCAACTTACAAAGAGGTTCCCGGTTCCTTTCCTCAGGCCTTAATAGTGGTGCTGCCATGATTTTTTGGTGATATGTGAGGTGGCAAAGAGTCTCTTCATTCTGAGTGTACCGGGTTGGCAGTTTTCTGGTTGCTGTTCCCGACTGCTAGTTAGGAGCCCGAAGTCTTGCGTAACATTTTGAGAGGCTTTATCCACTGGCGACAAAGATGAAGACAATAGTCCGAATAATGTAAAAAGGTTTCGTAATACCTCATCTCAGAAATATAGACAGATACCAATTATTATTATTATTGTAACCGTCAAAAATGACGGCACTTGTTCGAAAGTTTTAATAGGGTGATGTAATAAAACAAATTCTTCAATAAATTGAGATTCAATAAAGCGGAGTTAAAGAATTCATGCCTAAAATCGAAGCCAATAAATTGTTTAATCCGTTCCCTTTATACTTTTTAGACGTTCAGGGATATCGATGATTACTCCTGGTATTATAAAATCGCTTTTTACGCAATATCTTTTCATGTTAAAAATGTTATGTGTTTAAAATAACAATGAAATGGAAATACCTTTCATAAGAAAAAGATTAGCAACAGAACGACAAAGAAGGCGACGATAAAACCTATTTCAAGACCAAGTTGAAGCAAGACAATCACTTAATAGAGAAATGTACTTGAGTCCCTCATATGAAAAGCTTGTACAAATATGACTGCAATGTAAGAAACGTAGTGGGTGTGCTGGTAAATGAACTGATTCATTAAACGGTTCATCTTGCTCGAGAACTAATTCTGCCTGAATGCAGATAAATATTTTATTTATATAGATTATTAAACTGACAAAGGGAAGTTATCAATCATATATTTACTAATTTAAGTTGATTTATCTCCCTTCTCGCTACTGATGGGACAGGAAATATATAAATAAATGGACATTGCTAATTATTATATGCTTCGATTATTATTGTTGAGTAAAAGCGAGCTGCAATATACAAAGTCCAGTATACTCATCATGACACGCAATTTGATAAAAGTATACCAGGAACATACATCACAGCCAAATGTGTGCGATGCTGAATTAGGTTTTGACAATATCAGTGCATAACCTTGCAGATGGAGTCCAGTTAGATATCCCCTCAAACTGTCCTACATGGCCCTCTTAGGCAGTCTCCGGTTGACGGTTTTTCCAAATATCTAGACGTGACTACCGAATCGCCATACATGCTTCATTCTTCAAACTTAAAAAGACAACTCTTTCGATAACCAGCCATGTCGCTTCCCAACTATTCCTGCTCAAAAACAGAGATGCAGAGTGTGTCAGTCCCTTGGGGCCATGTCCAAATTGTTATGGTTAACTGACAAGCAAAATCTGTAGTACTGAACAGGATATTTATTGTAACTTACCTTAATTCACCAAGACAAATCACATTCATATTAAAG